GGCCAGCTCAAAAACTTACTGGCAATAAGTAATTAATGACACACACACCGAACGCGGCGAATGTTTAACACCAATGGAGTTACCTAATGGAGCATGACAATTAACTGATGGAAAAGTTAAAATCGCGAGCGATTGGATAAAATTAATCAATGGCGGGCCGGCCCGGAATGGATATTTTATGTTCCCGTGGGCGAGGAGTGGGCTCCAATTTGTCCGCAGTTTTTTAATTAGTATGGATGTGAGAGGAAACGAATCGGTTTTTATGCTTGCGCCCGCCGCTGAGTTATTTGCCAGAGCGAAATTCCGGGTGACTTTTTGACGATCAGACCCGCACTACCAAATACTATCAATTTGATTGGAAATAAATGAAAGGGTTGTTGTAACGTAACTAATTGGAAGTTGGCCGTTTTCCGAAAAAAGAGCTTCTAGTGCACGGGGAAATATTTCCTTCGTTTTTTGAAAGAATTTAAATAAACGCATCAAATTCAATTAGTTGCCTCTTGAGCAAAAAGTGAACGCGATAGTCAGATGTTTATTTTATCTACGATCACCGTAAAAACAAAAACAAAAGACTGCCTTAGCATAAATTAACACTAATAAAAAAACATGTATCTCCCGCGAATGGAATGACAAATAGCTCCCATCTCGCGAGCTAATCATTTAATCATCGAACACCGATACACCTGTTAATCCGTCCCGGTATCACGTGACGAGACGTACCGTGACTCGGAGGGAGCGTCTTCCCCCCGGGTAATTAGGCTCACATTCTCATTCCGTTTTCGCGTTTAATTTCGCCAGCGGTTTTGCCTTAATTACGTTATTCGCGGCGCCCGCTCCGTACCCCGGCAGTTAAAAACAAGTGACCAAGCTTAAGAGTTATCACTTATCACTCTTGCAGTTAAATGACGGTCTTTTTACTAGAAAGAATATAAAAATATTTATATGTTGGTTGTACTACAAGATATCCTCATAACAGGCCTAATACGTCATCAGCGTAAAGAGTAAAGTCCGAAAAATATTATTTTGCGTTCACATTTCAAAGTAAGTATTCATAATTTTTTCCTCAATTTCTGCCGAGTAGCAGATTTGGAGGTGACTTGCCAAATTTTCCTGTATCGACATCAGTTCAGTTCTAATAGCCATTCACAACTATTCATAAACGCACAAAACCGTTTACGGAACACTCAAAAAGTATTGAATGAACGGTTATTTACGAGGATCCAAATATCATATCACAATGGAAACCTTTGACGAGGTGCAGTCCCCAAAATGTAGAGTCATCGCGCTTATTGCTGACAAATACTTTGGAAGGAGGAACGAGGAAATAAAATACTAACAAGATGACTTACGCTTTTACACTTAGCATTGGAAATTTGAAATTTGCAGTTCATCGTTGTAATTGAAAAAAATCACTTAGCAGGTAAATAGGCAGGAGTGGGCTCATCGTCCCGTTTTGTTGTCGGGTGGTTGCTAATAAGATTTTTAAACGGCAACAAAGTATCCAATCAATGGGGCTTGAATAATGAAAACGCCACCTGCTAAGTTCTCAGCCCTCCCCCGCGAGCCTAAACACGCACCGAAACACACGAAAAAAACAAACAAAACCTTAATACTGAAAGGTAAGACACATTTCGCCTTGCAACCTGAAATTCGGACTCAAACAGACATAAGTTTGAGTAATTATGCACAATTTCGTTCCGTGCCCCGCAACCTGACATTATTATTTTTTATTTATGAACAATGAATTGTAAAGTGGGGTTTCGTAATTTCGTAGTGATCTATTGTGTTTATTTGTAGCGATAATTACCTACCAAAAGTTTACTGGGTCATAATTATTTAGTTAGAATTAAATCATATCACTCTGAATGACATTTAAGTACTCATTGTTTAATATAAATAATACATTATCGTTATCAATGAAATCATTATGTAGTATTAAATTATGCACGTGCAGGCGCGTGGCGCGCATTCAATCCATTCATAGTACAAATAGCATTACGATACGATAAGATACACAAGTTAATAATATTTGCAAATGCCACACAATAAATACAATTCAATAGAGACTATTTGTAAGCGATCAAGATGATATTGAATCCTACAAACGGTTCGACTGATTAAATCATCTCTCTTGATAGAATCATCGTCCTCTCAACCAATGTCAGTCCACTGCTGGACATAATAGTGTTTATCAAAGAGCGACATGTGCGACATAAGTAGAGCATTTTTTCATACAGCCACTGCTTTGCAGCTACCTTGGACAAACTTGGCCTTCACAGTTTAGGGTTTTACTGGCGGTCAAGTTGAAGATCCCTGGCTAACAAGAGTTGCAGTGAATAATCCTGTTGTGTAACCTTCTTAAGGCTATTAATATGTTCACAGAAGGCTGGATAGAATGTCACATTATTTCTATACTCAATTGAAAAATTATAATATTCCGTTTCTAAAAAAATATTTTTAACCACGGCATATACAAACTGAGGGTTCTCCCTCTGTCTATCACGACTTGTGAGATAAATCAATCTGAACAAATGAAAAAAAGTGTTAAGACCAAAGGTATTTCGCTTCTATTGAATTTAACACTTAATTCCCGACTCTACCAATAGTGCAAACCATGAGTTTTATGACCTAGCCCACACAACTCGCTTCTTTACTCCATGCATTCATTCTTTTATGGCACAAAAAATACAATCGTTTGTTAGTCTTATACATTGTAGCAGAATGTTTACATTCGCTTTATTCGAAAGGTAAATAAAAAATGTGAAAATGTGTGACCTCTATGGAATGTAAGTAGCTAGTTTTTAGGGTTATACCACAGAATAATAATAAGTACTACGTACAGAAGTTTTACTTCGCGAAGGTATTTAAAAAAATGTATGCTCAATGTCATTAACAATATGGTGTAATTTAGCCTGTCTCAAGAGTCAAGCACCATTTTGTTGACAAACGTCAGTGATCGGCACTGCGCCGAAGCTATAGGGCTGACTTCGGTAAAATGATGTGACTGTGCCAAACTGCGGAAAATGGCGGAGGAAATACATGATTTAGCATGAATTATCATGAATAATATTAACTACTTATTTACCTCTCAGTGTCTTGAGGCAACTTAAAAAAGTACATTCTGTGTTTTTATTATTATTTAGGCAGTTAAATACTGCACAGTATTTAGTACACCATTTTCTTTATTTTCTTCCATCATACACATGAATACGCGTGCGTGAGTCAATGTTCGCTCGTATGTGAGGCCTTGTCGAATAGTATCCTGTAGGTGGGCCATCGTGCGTGTTTTGTTTTCGATGTAAACTCGCGGAGATGAACAGGCCTGCTACTACTAGCTAAGGAACAGTAATTTACTGACCAATCCATAATAAAAGGCTTCAGTTTTAAATCAGTCCATTATTTTCCTCACCTATTTAGGAATTAAGATGTTATCGTTAGACGATATTTTAACGAGTCCACTCCAAAAAGTTCGCAACAAAACAGAGACATTAGTGTCCTTTTCGTAGTTTGGTACGGAGCTGCGCACGCGACGGCGCTCATTAGAAGGCACGCAACGCGGCGTTTACACGCCACGAATGTTGGCCCTTATGGCCGTCATTAGTTGCCAGCAAGTGTAATGGCTTGCTACACGCTCGACAGTCGACACCAAGTCTTAGGCTGAGTTGCGCCATCTTGCTTTAACTTTAACAAAAATCTGTCAAACTCCATACAAAAGACACGGGTTATGGTTATAGTCACGGTTAAAATAAGGTGGTGCAACTACCTTATGGTACAGGCATTACTTGATTAGGTAAGGTATAACTGGAAAGCATAGTAGAGCTACAGAATGTATTTATTCAGTAACAATATTATTTGACTCTGTAAAGAAAAACAATAAAGTTTTGAATGAACAATCTTTTGATGAAGCAATTACTCTGCATACTAAAGATTTTACTGACTCTTTTAAAATACGTCTACACTTGAAGTTCAGAAAACTTTATCAGTGGGTCATATTTTTAATTTCTTCTACTGCCCTACTTTTAAACACCAAAAAGGGGGGAACTTTAATAAGTTTTTGTTTAAATAGCCCGTTGACAATTTCCGACCCCCAATTATAATTGTCATTCTCATCCCATTCGACAATAAATTAATCTAGACGTAACTACAACCCTTTTATTATGTCAGACACAGAAATTAAGCAAATTACATTCAGCAGAGCAAATCGTTCCAAAAGAAAGGGCTACTGAAATAATTGTCTACTTTACTCTCGGAGAAATAGAATTACAATCTAAATTAATTACGCTTTTAAAGCGTCCGTTATTCTTAATTAGTTTCTGCACCGCAGCGGAAGCGCCGACTCGCGCTCCTAATGAAGGGTAGTTTCAAATCAGTGCGTTTGATCAACTCTGTGCAGTCTTAATTACGGGACCCGTTCCGCGCGGGACAATCCGGTTATTTATGACTACATAAGCTTGATTATTCTTTAATGAATACTTGTTTTAAAACGTTTAATTAAGTTTTATGGCGACAGGGCCGCTCAGACGTCCCGCCGCTCCGCCGGCCGCGAGCTAATTGGATCGGGTTGACGCACCGCTCGCCCCCACCCCTGGCGAACCCTCTCCCCTCCACCGCCCTCCTAATTGTATGAAATTGCTAATTGGAAAATTTTATAAGCGCGGCGGCCCGCAGGCCTATGCCCCAATCCATCGTGCTCTGTCCAAGAAAAGTTAATTCCAAGGGTCACCTCTTCTAAGTTAATTATGTTATTGAAACTTGATTAATCGAGGCAGGAAAGTGGTCTAGTCAGGGGAGAGTCACAACTGTAATGTGTCAACTCGTTGACATTCCTACGATGGACGCTCTTACAATGTGTTTGCAAAATAGTTAAAATAACTGGAACAATACATATTGCGGTTACATTCAGAAAAATATTTATAAACCAATGATTTGCCTGAATCTTCCGTTCCTAATATTTAAGATAATTTGAACAACAAATTAAATTACCTCTCATTTGTCCCCAGGGCGTGTAATTGTGGTGGTCGGCGCGAGCGGTCCCCGCTCCAACCGTCAAGCTGGCAGCGAGCGCGTTAAGCATGAACGCTCACTACCACGGGTATGCCGAGCTCAGCTCGCCGCACCCGCCGTCTCCCGAGGCGGCCTTCGCGGCTAACGGCCACGACTACCCTCACAACAACAACAATCCCGCGCTCAAAGAATGCGCCGGCTGCGGCGGCAAAATCGTCGAGAGGTTCCTTCTACACGCGCTAGACAGATACTGGCATCATGGCTGCCTGAAGTGCACGTGCTGTGGCCAAGCCCTGGCGGACATGGGCAGATCCTTCTACTTCAAAGGTGGCATGATCCTGTGCAAAAGCGACTACACAAGGTAAAAATAGCATGCTCTACATTATTTTTTAGTTGTAAGCTGAGCTTTAGTGAAATTCAATTCAAAATTATTTTTCTAAAAATTAACTAATGTAAAAAAAAGGTTCGCGTATACAACAGTACTGGGTTAAAAAAAAAGATTGTGCGGAGGATGCACCTCTTTCAGTCTAGATAGATAGAGACATACACACAAAAACCTTCAAATAATTTAATTGAAAAGAGTTATCTGATCTCCAATGTGCAAAAAGTCTACTTAGTTAATTAAGCTAAAAAGCTCGTTTAAAATCTTCGTCGCAAGATTAGAACACCCTGGCTTAGTTTAGCCCCATCCCCGGCACAAACAATGGACACCGAAATTTGGCTCTTCTAAATCCTGACAGACACTGGACCGGCTCTCATATCCATTATACATTGCTTCGTGCCATGATGCAGGATCAATGTAGTATACGTACCTATAACACTCTTTCGTCTTGCTTTCTACCGAATTTAATCAACTTCCAAATTGAATTTAGCTAACCCCGCTCCAGGCTCCTAATTAGTGCCTGTTACGGCAAGGAATTCGTATAGCGGCTCGCGATCGATCTTCCCACTGATCATCGATAAAGGCTTAGTTTTTAGTCCGTCATCTTACGATGACAATAGCTTGTCTGTCAAACGCCCAAAAAAGTATACCGAGAAAGCCGCGGGCGCATTGTTATGAAAATGCTTGGAACCGTATTTTCTACCTGAGAGTGGGACAAAAAGTACACAGTTTTGCACACAACGCGATCCACGCCGCGCTGGGATCGTCTAAATTGGTCTCGTTAAGACGCTAAGGATTAATTTAGGACGTAGATAACAATGTTTTAATTAAACTCATACAGCAATTGTTGCTTGGCTTCGCTGATGTAACCGGTAGGTACGGTTAGGCCACGGCAATGTCAACGATTATGGAAATTTATACCTTCAAAGATTAACTGTTAGCTATTCGTTGTGTAGAAATAGAAGGGGTATTGGCAATTCATTTGCGATATTTCGACCAGACCATAACTTGCGGAGTCGTAAGAAACGCTCGTAACCAATTTGGGACGAGGTCTATTCAAGTTTGATCGTATCCATAAAATTAATTGATATGGAATATACCACAATTAGGCTGGTACTTTGTATCTATTAAGTCCAACCATAAAATTATCATCGCATAGAACGAGACCTAATGGAAAGGTTAAATTAATTAAAATTGTTCAATATAGCATCAATTATAATTTTAAACTCTTCTGCGTAGGCGTGATGATTGTTAAAATATTTAATTAACTCACATCTTCATAAGATTCAAAATCGAACGTCTCTATACCTTCATAAAGTTTGGTCAATTAATGAATCAACAAAAAGTAAAACCAAACTTACCTAAATCTGCGTCAAACATAATTATCACAGCTTTTAATGATAACAGATCTTATACAGACATCGAGAATTTGTTAATGATGTTCAAAAATAAGTCCCACCATACACACTGGGCAGAACAAGGGTCCTACTACACAAAAGTGATTCGAAATATTCTTCACTCTATCTCTCACACTCCTGCCATTTCTTATTCATCTCGCAATCTCAACAAGACCGTGGACTAACGTGACAAGATATACTTACATTTATTTATTTAACAGTTCGTAGATAATTTCACATAAATTATGATAGAGTCAAAAAGACACATACCTACATACTCGTAGAAAGCTAGTTAGCGTAATCTATATTTAGCTTTTTCTAGCAGAACATTTTTAAATACTGAAATGTATTTCTTCAAGCGGAATCGAAAGGGTGGAACCTAGAGTGAGTAAGAAAGATAGAACTGATTCAATGTCGATTCGTTTTACAGAGTAGATCCCCAGGTACAGAGTGGGGCGGCCACGTGGACCGCAGCTGCCCGCACCCTCGCGCTAATTAGCTAAACGCACGGCATTCCACCCAATTACCGACAACACCCGCTTTTTAGGGTCCCGTTGTCAAGGTGACACAAATAGATTTCATCTAAGAATCTAGGGCGTCTAGTAGAGAAAGTATAAACGCGTTTTATTAGATTTCATTCATCTACGAGATAATGTTCTAACCATTAACACAGGGAAAGGTAGAGCAAATTAAAGATGGAGGAACAAAAATTTCGATTTTATCTCATGAAAATCTTTTATTCACGTATGATAAACGTATTAAAAATATAAGGAAAATTTCAGCATGTAGTAAGTAAGGATTTTTTCTGGCGGGGTATTCACACAGTGACAGAACCCTAGATTATTTCTTGTGTAGGTGTAGCACGTGTAACAGTGCTAGAATTAGGTACACAGAAATTCACTCATCAAGTGTGGCACGAGCCACTGCAAGCGTTCCACGACATCCGACCCCGTGTTTGGCGTTCATATAAATTCGTTTTACACTGATTTCCCTTGTTTACCGGCGGTTGAGCCAAACTAGAGCGAAGAGTGGGCCGACCGCGGCGCGGCTCGTGCGTCGTAGATTCGATAAAGCTCGTCTCACAGTTGACAGAGACGGCGCGGCTAACGAGCGGGGCCGGCAGGTGGGGCCGGGGGCTGAAGAAGTGCGGTTCCGTGCATGTCTCTGCTGATTGACCCGCGTCACTCGGCAAACAACAACTAACGAGTCGTCCCCCGCGCCTTCAGGTAATTCGCTCGAATCACTCCCGCGGCCGCCCGCCGACTTTACTTACACGCCTCCACTGATTGAGACTCCTTAACGAAATTAACGCTCACTCACGCAAACAACTGCGCGTTTATCCGCCGCCTTTTGTCCCGATATGATGGATTGCGGTCTCGCTCCACAAAGACGCTGATGATCCTTCGCGCTGCTGATTACTGTGTGCGCACGAAATTAGTAAGTGTTACGACGTATGCGGGCACGAAAGCGGAAGCGTTATATAAACATTAGCCGGCTTAATTCGAGTTTTATAATGATTTATAACGCCTCTATTGTTTGGATGAAGACGTTAATACCGTGCGTGTATCGAACCCGTAGTACAATGTTCGACTGTGTGTAAATGAAGCGTATACGGGAGAATCGACGTTAAGTTGACTATTGAGATGGGACGTTATCTTCTGGAACATGTTTAACAAAAAGCTTGAAAAAGGCTTCCTTTATAAGTTGTTACCACCTATGGGATCATTCTGCATAAATTATTTGGAGGTCATGAACTAGATAGGTCGCGATTCGTTCTAGATAAAACAAAAACTATAATCATAATAATATTTCCTTTCTGTTCCAACATGTTTTTAATAAGCATGTTATACTTATATCAGGCTGTTCAATTTAAAGGTCAACCTATCCCTAATTATTTCAAAACAAAGCAGTCCCATTACAACTCAAATACATCTCATTACATCCGATCGTAAACCTAAACCTTGAAAAAGTCCCCACGCAACATAGGGCACGTCCACCTATCAGTTGAAAGCGGGTTCGTTAGGACGCGTGCGGGCTCCGTCAATCAAGGCAATTGCCGCTCAATCGGCAATCAGCCCCCGCCCGCCTAACGAGCCGGCCCCGTGAAATACCAACTTCTTAAAACTAACTCCTGATGGCTCGGTGTTGTGGAATTTGACGCGGATTTTTGCAGTTCTGCTGCAGGATTTATGCACTTGGATTTCTTATATCTACAGTAATTTTTCAAAGGGAAAATAACTTTATTTATTTGACTTGCATAATCAATAGAAATAGTTAATCTTCTCATAAACATTGAAAAAATACTCGAAATCTGAAAAAGGGGGGATTAAAGTTTAAAATCAATGTAGGTACATGAACTCGAATAAGTACAACACGGATCATTTTAAAGATGTGCATAGTCGCGGGTAAAAACTAGTACATACCCACCTACTTTATAAGAAGTAAATCAAGGAGCGATTCCCTCCCCGCGAGCCTTACGAGTTGACCCCGCGAATCACCAACATCTAACTTCCACCCGCATTTGCAATAGAATTTATGACGAATCTTTTCTGTATCCAAACGCGATTGGATTCTTGTTGCATGAAAATTCGAGACGTGAAATGGTGCATTTTTAGGGTTCCACCTCTTAAAAGCAAAATATGAAATGTGGTACAAAGATCCTCCTGACCTGGTCCTGACTCCTGATGACCTGGAATCATGAAATTTGGTAAGTAGCAATATCTTAATATAAAGGAGACATTTTTCAGGAATTGTTGAGTCGATAGATTTGAATTTGAGTAAAGAAGAGTAGGAGAAAAATTTAGAATTAGAAGTATGGAGAAAAAGGTGAGTACGGAACACTCAGTGGGCAAGCTCATCTTGCACTTGGGAGGCTTCTATCAAATAATAATATATATATATATATATAGCAATCACCAGGCAGAAGTATTGATAGGTTTTTGGACACGTGTCTGAGGACATTGAGACGTCTTTAAGGCTGGGTTGCACTATCTTACTTTAACATTGACAATCGTCAAAAATCTGTCAAACTCCATACAAAAACACCGTTTATAGTCAAAGTTACGGTCAAAGTTAGGTGGTGCAACTCAGCCTAAGAGTTCAAGATATTGACGGTCGGAAAGATTTGGCTCATAAATTCGTTATAGAAGACCGATAACTTCTGTAAAGTTGGTTAAGTAGGTAGGTCAAGGATATGAATTGCCGCCACAGAATTAACTGCCAGTTGGTCTATATTTTTCCGTTATCTTTTGACAAAATATCGGCCAGAAACATTCCGTATTACTTACATCATTTCTCTAAAAGATAATGTTCTACAAGTAAATAATACTCCTCAAATGAATAAACGATACCAATAAATATATCAAACAGAGTACAAAGCTGTCAACTTTCGTCCAATTTACAATCTAGGACACGGGTGAAAATCGACGCCAAAGAAATAACCCTTTAAAATATGTAGCGCGAACTGCTAACTGCAGTTACACTAACTGGCGCATTTGCAACGCCTCGCTCCTCACTGCGAACTTTTAGCCGTGTATAACTATTAGTTCTGACTGTATTTCGTTTGAAGATATATTATTTTTT